TGGTCATGTTTAATCAGGTAGTGTTGGTGACGAAGTTCTCAATAGAGTTTTGCATAGACGCTCGCGGCAAATGAGCGGGAGTTTGCAGGAACTGTGTTGGGAGGTCTTCAGTAGCGGAGCGATGGACGAGTTGTTGAAGCTGTGCATTGAGGGAAGCGCAAGCCGAATACACGCGTTCTGTGTTGAGAAAATCAAAGAGCTAGTGAGAGCTATTGAAGAGCACGATGCGGAGTTGGTACGGAGGCAAAGTGAACCAGAGGCGGCAGCCGAGGAAGAGGAAGATGCTGGGGGATTTGTTGATGAGATTAGTAGCAGTGGCTCTGATGTGAAGGTAGGCTTAGGGAGTAGCATTTAGTTTTCTACAGTGATATGGAAAACAGAAGTGGGAAATATATTTCACGACTACTGCATATCACCGTGAATAATATCGTGTTTTTCACCGAGTATTACGCCACTTCACGTAAAACGGGTTGTGAAACTCCAGTACTCGGCATCTAGAAACGCGCGAGTTGGGCCACCACTTTTTTTTCGAATTTCAATATAATATTTTCACTATTGAGTTCCTCATACTTTATAATTACCAATAAATTCGGGGTGTTTAGTCTTCACTAAGTTCATAAATTCACAAGGACTTCACGCGCTTGAAACTTCGCAGAAAATTTGGTCGTTTTAACCTCCCTGAGCCTAGCGTTTAGTAGTTAGTCTAGTGGTTATAGCTGGTGTTTATATACTATCGAGGGCGAGCACGTAGAAGAAAGTGCCAGGAAAATTTTTCTCCGAAAATCGTTCGTGAACAGGTGCTATGTATATCACTATATTAGAGGGCTTCGAATTTGGGATCTTAGAGTCAAGGTCGTTGGGTAGAGAAAGTTACCTCTGTACATGTAATTTCGGTCTGTAGATGGCGCGCATGTAGATGTATGTTTGTATAGTCTAGTGGTTATGGCACATGTTTGCACATGTGGAGGTTGTGGGATCGATTCTTGGCGAGTGCATTTTTCCCCTCAGGAAGAGCGTGGACACCGTAATACTACTCTTGGTGATGCTCGCCAACGCTCTGTAAGGCAATACTCTCGGAGAATATGTGCAGACCGAAGCATTCTTGAGGACGTCCTTTCGGAGTTCCTGGCCACTTTACTGTAATAGAGTGGTGACTAGTGTGTCGGTAGGGGAAAATATGCACATTGTCAAGTACAGGCGTTGGTAAAGTGAGTAGTAATAGTAGTAAGTAGTAGGGAATTGTTGTTGGTTTCTGTACACTTCTACCAGAATTCGTATGTAAACTTGTATAATTAGGGAGGAAACACCTGAGCTCAGGTGAGGGAAGCGGCGAAGATATATACCTTCAAATTCGAGAGGAGTGTGCTGATGGTGCCTTGGCAGCTTGTAGTGGTTATTGCGTTTTAATGGAGATAGTGAAAAATATATTTAAGGACTATTGCATAGCGCGAATATCGCGTTTTTCGCAGAGTATTACACCACTTTACGTAAAACGGGTTGTGAAACTTCAGTACGTTAGTTGCATAGTTGCCAGCCGCGGGTTTGAGCGCTATGTTAGAACACACACAAGATGTATGTTTGGGTAGTGATGCTCTATAGTAGCTGTTGAGAATGCGGTTGACGAGTTTCTTCGTGTTCAGTTTCACGTGTCTAAACACGGAGGAGTACCAAAGGGCGAAGGATGCCCGTGTGAAGGGTCCTCAGACTCCAGGAGACATGCACAGGGAGGGTAGTCGGACGGCGGTGAACCAAATGTATCGTCAATCTGGGACGGCTGCCCAGCAGCAGCAGGCACTCCCTGCTGTTGGAGAAGGTACGGGGTCTATTGTCATCGTATTTTTCTTTATATGTCGGACTCCCGGCAAATGATGATATGAAAATCATCGAGAATCGATCTTGACAATTCTCTGATCATCACTATCGGCGCTATGCAAATAGTGAAATGTCTACATCTATTTATATACTCATCAAAAGGCCACCCAAAACTCGTCTAACAATATGCATAGTACTGGTACTAGCAACGCGTTGAATGTTTTAATGTCTACTCCACTGTTTAAAATGCATTCGAGGGGTGGATTTAGAAATAGCAGTCGTGGTACCAATGACAACTGGTATCATTTTAGTTGAATAACCAAGGTATAACGCAACTAACTCCTGTAAGGAATCCTTCAGCACGAACACATATCACAACAAACAGCAACTTCAGCAGCAACAACAGCAACTTTGCTATCATTCAAGACGCCTATAATATGAGGCTTATAGAACTCTAATTTATTAGGAGTACTTACAGGCTGACCATGTTCGTTGGTGAGGCAAGGCGGTCTAGCCGTCCACCACCACCACAGACGTTGAAACTCGATATTGAAAAGTGTGCAAAATTCTTTATAAACCAATCTAGGAAGAACGCGATTATATACCATGCATTTCATTATCATCATCATTGTCATTGTTGTTGTTGTCAGATATAGTAGAGCAGCCCGTAGGGGCGTCGTCGTCGTCGTCCCCTCTGATGAACCTTCCCTTGTCATCGGGTGGAGTTGTGATGCCGATAGTCGCTGGAGGGGTGAGGAATATGTTTGCTTTCTTAGGCTGATCTCGGGGGTCTCACTGTAGAGGTTTATATATGAATTGGAGTAGAAGTGTTTAGAAACCATCGAGAATTGCCGAAATTTTCTCAGGATTTTCATGTTGTCATCAACACGTGTAGTTGACCATGTGCATGTTTTCTCCCTATAAAGGTTCAAGTTCAACTGATTGTGATTTTGGGATACTTGTTTGTTTTTTTTATAAACCGAGTTAAGGAGTTTACTATATGAATTCACTTGACCGCATGCAAATGCTATGCATATGAGTGCCATTCATGTGTTATCGCACTTGGTGAAGTTGTTACTTCTTCAGCGTGAGATGTGTGACTGTTAGTACTTGTGCAATGAGCGTATTTGGTGGAGGATAGTATAGTAGTGTTGTTTTTGGTTCTCTTTGGACTAGGCGGAGCGAAGCGATGATTGTTTATTTGTTGTTTTTTCCTTGTCAGTTCTCGCCGACTGCAGCGATACCGTCAGCGAAGAGCCAACAGATGCAATCAGCAGTACGGTGGAGTATGGGGAATATTAGATATAGAAGTAGATGTATCGTGAGGGAGTGTCTGGAGTCGAACGAGCTCAGGTGGGGAAGGTCGCGGGTTCGATCCCTGGTGGGGGCATTTTCTCGCTTGACAGGTTGTCTTTAATCAGTGATAGTAAATATCTTCTTATAAGACAGTTTATACCATGGAGAATAAGATTCCTCTTGGGGACGGAGACTAGTGGTTCGGCGAAGGCTTGGCGAGAGGTGAGAAGACGGAGTTCATTTGTCGCGCGCCACGAAAATAGTTTCATGTTGAACTCCTTCTTGTGGTGGGTGTTGGATCTGAGAAGGACCACGCTGAGCTCCTCGAGACCAACACCCACAACTGTTGAGTCACTAGGCACGATCTGACTGATGTTACGACTACTGGTTATTCCGGCGTAACTTTTGTCGCAGAAGTCACTTTTTGGTTAGTCCAATGATAGTCACTTGTGTTTTGGCGTTCAGTCGAATGCACTTGGTTCATCGCGTCCAGATGGGAGCTGTTTCCTATGTGTTGTTTGGTCATATGTGAAAAACTGTAGATTTTTCCTCAATAGAAATGAAGTATTTTTCCGCGACTATTCGAAGTGATTTCTGGTCAGGTTCAGTATACGAGGTTGGAAAGAGAAACCATGTGGAGGGCATTTGGGCAGCCGACTCATTGGCTAACGCTGGAGTTCGCTGATGACGCTTCTTTGGAAAAAGGTTTCCAGGTGGGGTTTGAACCTGGGTGCATCGGTCGACGAGGTAACGCCTTAACGTACTGGACTATATGTAGGTGCATTTCGCGAAGAGAGCGGGAAGATACCCCTATTGGTACTTCTTCCTCACAGCGTGTCTCATCATTATCTACTGCTGGGTGCAATATGAACTCCTTCGTTCCAATTACCCGGGTGTCACTTTCGTTCGGCTCATAATGACCGAGCCAACCGCCTTGTTCTTCTTCGCAGCAATCGTGAAGCTATCGGTAGGTCCCTGGCAGTGTGAGGTGAAATTATTCATATCGTCAACCACATGTGCTGGTGGCAATATGAAGGTTGTGAGAAAATTTTGGAGAATTTCTCGGTGGTTTCTGTACATTTTCACGCGAATTCGTATATAAACTTTCATGATTAGTAAGAAAAATTCTGAGCTCAGGTGAGGAAAGCAAACGTATATTTCCCAACAGAGATGTGTGGCGATGGCTTTTGACAAATAATCTATTATTCTGTGCTCAGATAGAAGTGATATTCCTGGTGGATTCCATGTGGTTTTGCGAGAATTACTTTCCCATACAGCTTGGCCTGGCCGCTCTCTCTGGCAGTGGTGTTCTTATTTGGATGTATTACAGTCCCTTGGTGAGTTTCGATGAGAGTTCGGGGAGATTTGGTATCGAAACTTGATGACATTTTCAAAACTCGGTAGGGTTGGACTCAGCAAGTGAGGAGACGGCATTTCAAAATCCATAGATTCCATGTTGGAATTTTCCCGTTTCGAGAACAGCGGAGCGAAGCGTTTCACGATGTGCATCAATATCGTCCATGATCAGATTCTGAAGTACTTCACTTGGCCGCTCCAAGAAGCTCTCACCTATAGCGTCCTCATGGCCTTCACGATTCTCCTCTTCAAACTGAGGTCGAACTTTTCGCATCGCTCCGCCATTTTTCCGTTTTTCGATGGGTATCGGAAATGTCGTGGTGAATTCGAGGGATGGTTCGACAATTTTCGCGCCATTTGGTAGTTTTTCTGATGATATTTCCGTGTATAGTGTCTATCGCTTGTTTATGCGAGGCTAGTGTCGGAGAAATATGCACATCGTCAACTACATATATTAGTGACAATATGGAAATTGTGGGGGAAATTTTGGCGAATTCTTGTTGATTTCTATGCACTTCTACCCCAATTTCGCATGTAAACTCGTATAACTAGTGAGAAAACTGCCGCGTGTAGCTGAGGAAAGGGGCGAAAATATATCCCTCCAAAACTGCATGTAGAACTACCTACTACATGGGAGATGAAATTCCAAGTCGAAAAACGGGAAAATTCAGAAATGATTTTACTTTTGGGGTTCAGGTTCATCCACATGCTCTATTTAAGCGTCTACCTCTTGGCATTTCTCTTCTCGGTACGGTGGATCGCCTTGGGCACATATCCGTTCGAGTTGTCTTCCTTATTAAGGGAGCCTATTAGGAGTGTAGCATTTATAGTAGCTCCTACGGCAATATTGGCGACGATACGGTACATGTTTGAACTGCTGGCGAGGAGGGACTATGTTCTGTCGCTGACGCTTGCGACTGAGTCGGACCGCTCGGAACGATTATTGATGAACGTTTTACCGGTATCGATAATTCAACAGCTTAAAGAGATTCAAGATGATCAAGTGAAGCAATCTGGTGGGGAGGCTACTGAGGAAGACACTTCACTAACGCACCAAATGGCTATGGGTTTTGCTGAGGCTTATGAGCACGTCTCGATTCTGTTCTCTGATGTTGTGGGATTCACGAAGATTGGTTCTAATATTGAGCCGGAAGAACTGGTACAGTTGCTAAACGAGTTGTTTACAATGTTTGATGATATTGCTGAGGAATGTGGGTTGGAGAAGATTAAGACTATTGGTGACGCGTATATGGCGGCTGCTGGGTTGCCGAGATACAACCCGATGCACGCGCATGCTACGGCGAGGATGGGGCTTATGATGATCGAGGTGGGGATAGGGGGTCGATCTGTCAGGATGTGTAGGAAATGTGGTATTAATAATAATATATTATATCAGATTAATTGTAAGCGTCTGTAGTAGGTCAGAGTTAGTGGTATTAGTATAGCTTTAACCAATGATAATGTCATTTATATGATATTAATAATATTTTTATATACATAGATCTATTCAGTGCTGCAAGGAAATGTTCGCTTCCCTCAGCTGAGCTCAATGCTTTCCTCACTTAACATAGGAGTTTATATATGAATTGGGAGACTATACGAGAAGTGTACAGAAACTAGCATGGATTCTCCAAATTTTCCTCAGAGTTTTCATATTGTCACCAACACATGTGGTTGACCATTTGTATGTTTTACTAAACCGGATCTATTGGAAAATCTGTTTGCTCTCCTCAGCAGAGTCTGGGGATTTCCTTACTAATTTCAGACAAATTTACGTACGAATTTGGGTGTAAATGTACAGAAACCTATGAGAATTTCTTCAATTTTCCTCAGAATTTCCGCAGATTTTACCTACACATGTAGTAGACCATATGCATATTTTCCTATACCGGTTTTTATGGGGGCGCATCTGATCATATATGTTTCCTATTTTTATATCTACATTTATAACATTGATATGGTGATTGACTTGGTTAGTTGGGAACGACCAGGAGCAGGGGTCGATCCGGTGGTGTGTATTTATCAATGGAGCGTGTTCCGATGAAGTGTTGTTATTATTAGAACTGATTGCGGATAGCTGAGCGGAGGCTTCCTCTGATATGTGGTCTCATGCTGTGTGAGAAAAGTTTTATTGTACTAGTGTGATATGTCGCGTGCCATAAAATTAGTGAATATGGTTGTTAACCATTAACTAGTTGAAATGGAATGGCAATCGATCGAGGAGTTTTGTGTGTCCCATCAGGCCCTGCAGGATCCTTCCAAGATTGAGGACGGCAATCTGGTCGATCAGCTCGGACATCCTCTACGAATACGTGTTGGTATTCACTCTGGTCACTGTGTGGCTGGGGTCATAGGCCGGAAGAAATTCATTTACGATGTTTGGGGAGACTGCGTTAATACGGCGTCTAGGTAAAAATGGGGGGAGGATGGTTGGATCGAACCGGGTATCTTTGGATGCACAGGCAGACATGTTTACCAGTTGGTCTAGATGGTAGTTTTTTTTGTGAGGCATCGATAGTAGTCGTGAGAAATTGATGGGGGAACACACTGTTACTCTTGACGACTATAAGCACATCTATTCTTCCAACCATACGGAACATAGCGTTGGAATATATGTTTGCCTTCCTCAGCTGAGCTCACGAGTTTCCTCATTAATTACAAGAGCTTATACACAAATTACGGTAGAAGTGTACAGAAACTGATAAGAACTTCCTCAGAATTTCCCTACTGTCACCAACATATGTAGTTGACTATGTGCGTGTTTTCCCACACGTGCCGGAACATGATCGTAAATGTCAAATTGTATTTTTTATTCTTCAGAATGGAGTCCCATGGCACAGAGATGCGAGTCCATTGCTCGGAGGACACAGCCAACTTGGTCCGACACAGTTTCGACCTCACCTGTAGAGGAGTTATGGAAGTGAAGGGCAAGGGACTGATGACCACGTACTATATCAATAAGGAGCGAAGAGCGAGCAGGAAGAGAGATTATAGAAGTAGCGCGCGCCCTGGTAATCGATTTCGAGCTGTGGATTCTGTTAGATGAGTATGGAGGAACGATGCAGCTGTCACATGGGATGGTGTCCGACGTTGAGGAAGAGAGTTCAGATTCGTCATACCACTCGTCTGCCTCATCATGTGATGGAGAAGCGTGGAACGCCTATGAGCCCTCCTGTAGAAGTGCTGATGTGTCTTCCTTGAACACAGACGAAATCGGGGCCGTTGGTATGACAAGGAGGCGGCTCAGCTCGGTTCAATCGGGGTACAGCCCGAGTAACGTTGAAACGATTCCCCAGCGCATCGCAAGGTTCTGAGCTTTTTCGTAGTCGGGTGCAGGGATCGAACCTGGGCGTCCCCATGAACGTTTAAAGTTGACTGATTGCAGTATAATTTCAGTATCATAATCTTATCTGATTTTCATATGCACATTGTGACCTTGATAATTCTCATATCATATATGTTTCATTCTCGGCAGCGATGTTGTGTTCTGGAGTAAAGAGAAAGATGTACAGCTTGTCAGCCAGTCTCGTTCGATAAGTGAATTCTTGAACTGGAGACGAGGAAAAATGAAGTATGAGTTCAGCAGCTCATGTGTTCATCGGAATTGAAAAAAGATCTCAATCAACAACTCGATATTGGAGGACTCTTCTGAGAGTAGCTTGTCCAGTCTTAAAGACTATGTGCTGTCTACTGAGGCGCCCCATAGAGCTATGGGTTGAATCGCATTGCATTGAATGCAGCATTGCACTACACACTAGACTTGCACTGATACAATTTAAAACAGTCAAGCATTGTCAACTGTTTTAGATAGTTTGAGGTACTTAGAAGCTAACACGAATGCCCCAGCATCCTTCGACAAAATATCATCTACGAGGTAGATGATATTCACTCCGAGCGGGGCTCGAACCCGCGGCCACGGGCTTAAAAGGCACGCGCTCTACCGACTGAGCTATCGGAGCTGATATATACTTACTCTTCCATTCTTAGGTGTGCGGCTCTCATTCACTTCCACCTACTTGACACTGCCTTTGCAGGTGCGAACTCAACAGTCGCCGATGTATTATACACCGTGTATACACGACGTGCAAAAATATGAATGTCATCCACAGCAGAGCAACAACATACCGAACATACCGTCTCACCGTTGCTCGGGAAGAGCAACAACATATAAATGCAATCGAGGGACCCGCCGTCTTGTGTAGAGGAATTCCCTCGCCGAAACTTGGTATGGAAAAGATTGGGCAGGGCGGCCTGGATATGATTGCACATCTTTTGCATGCATCCTTGATGTGATGTCAGCTGGTTGCAGAGAGGTTTCACCCGAAACGGTATGCCTTAGTTACAGCTGGATCTATCACATCTGGAAGGCGTCATCTACCTTACTATAATTGCCATCTCCGTACCTCCTAGTTTGGCCGACACATTATGTAACTGATGCTAGTATCTAGCTCTTTGGTGGTCTCGAGTTCGCTCAGTACACAACACTACCACAACTCAAGATCAAAACAACGCAAAATCAAATTCGCAACTGACGGAAACCTCTTCGCTTTCTCATGTGCCACCGCGAACGCTCATGACTTCTCCTCCTCTCCACCGCTCTGTGCGAGCGTATGATTTGGACTGTACTCGAGATTTGCTGAAAAGCGAAGAACAGTTCGAAACCAATACCCATGATCCCTGAGGAATGTTCTTCCGATCAGTTACAACCGCTTGGTAGACAACGAGCAGTATTTCACGCAGTTCATATTCTAACCACTGCGAAGACTTTCTCGAGGGTGCTCACCTTGCAGTTTCCAGCTCTCTACAATACTATTCATTTCACCATCAGAGAAGTGGTCCGCAATGTACCGCCGCTTGTCTCCATTAAGGAACTCAACGTCAATAGTAGCCGGACCGTCATAGGCTAGGAGCTCCCACGTTGCCTAGTTGACAAGAAGATAAGCGTTTCCGTAGTGTAGCTCAGTCGCCATAGCGAACACCGAATGAATAAGTCGTGTCGGGAGTTCGATCGGTAGTAGTTCGCCAAGTAGACGAGTACGCATTAGGTTTTTACTAGACTGCGAAAGAAAAATTCGGACTAGATTGATTACTACCAAATATTAATCAGCTTGATACCACACTTTCATGACTAATTGATAAACTCTCCAAAGACACAAACATACGTCCATTTGTGTCTCCGCAATCGACGTTCAGATGTGAGAACACATCGATGCTCTACTGTACATTCCCCTCAGGGGTAAAATCAAAATGCCGAAAGTAGTGTCGGGATATATGTTTGAGTTTTCTCAGTAATTATAGCATTTTACACACGAATTCGGGTAAAAGTGTGCAAAAACCTACAAAAAAACTCCTGAAATTTCATGATGTCACCAACGCATGTAGTTGATTTACCCACACTGGTGACAAGATTTCAACTTACGGTGAATTCCGGGAATTTTTTCTGTACCGGTTCGCTGGTTATGCTCATCACTAACCTCTTGGCCACCTCAACGTGCTGTCGTCCAGGATGGTATCTGACGGAGATTAATAATAGTGAACTCGACCACACAGTAGAGTCTGGTCTATCCCACAGTCTTGTTCCCTCAGACTTGGAGGAATATATTTTCACTTCCCTCAGTTGAGGCGGTCACTCGCTAATTATAGAAGTTTACATATAAATTCGGGCAGAAGTGTACAGAAACCACTAAGAATTTCCTTAGAATTTTCATTTTGACACCAACTCGTATTCCCCTCCACACTCCTTCTTCAGAGATTGTTTTAAAACAGTTTATGTATATACAATTCATCAAGTATTGCGACTCACTACCAACATTGTGCACGCGTGCAGTGCAAACTCCAACTTACGCCACATGCATCGACTTTAGATGCCGTAGAACATTCAGCCGAGGGAAAAGCTTATACGAGCCGAAATGGGTCGTCATAATAACACACTGGAGATGATTTCTGGTGAGCCGTGACGAGGCGAATACAAACAACACGTCTTGAAAGTGTACTCTAAAATGGTATAGCCTATACCATTTTAGAGTACATTTGCAAGACACCAGACCATATGGGAACATCTAATGGAATTCATGACTTTCTAGATGCAGGAGTTCAACGAAATGTGGTATCGGCAGTGAGTCACAATATCGACTGTGAAAACTAGAACCAAAGACCAGAGAATCATCATGTGGTAGAAAATAGCATGCTTCGAACTGAACGGTAATTGCACAGTATCAATAAGTGGACACAACCCAATCACACAAATCGTGGCCTTCTATCTCACCTGAATGATTCAGAATGACGCAAGAAAAACCAGCAACCTACGACCACTCTCAAACTCGAGTGATCGGCGAATAGACCTGCGCATGCATGTGTGAAGATTGTGGTACTTCAGCAGTCACAATTATCTCGATAATAACACACTGCTACAAGCGTGTGTCAGTAGTTGTTGATTACAAGCTTCGTTGAAAAGCGAACAGGCTCCGCGGTAATACATGGTGAGTAGTAGTACTGACATGCTAGAGTGGCCGAATCAGGGAGTTACACCATTAGGAAAGTAACATATTTCGATTACTTAACATTAGAGTAGTAGTCATATTCGCTATATAATCATCGATTGGGAAGGCGACTTGCGACTCACTCAGGGTACGATAGGAATGGGTTCGGGTTCCGCGCCGCTTAAACAGCCGCCGATATACTTGAGCCATAGCCCGGATGGCGGCTGACTTTCAGCTCCGGGAAGCCCGACTACACGAATGTAAACAATCGATATTAACAGCATGTCCGCTGTAGTATAGTGGTGAGTATTCCTGCCTGTCACGCAGGAGACCCGGGTTCAATTCCCGGCGGCGGAACTTTTACCTAAGCACACGATCTGGATCACTTACTGGACTTCTTCGTGGTTCAACTAACAGAGCAAGCATCAAGAAAACATTACAATGCGGGCTAACCTTGTATGAGATATCTATATCTACAATCTCCTCTTCTCACATACCGCTCGCTGCGCCACGTCTTCGATCTCCTCTATCGCTGCCAGAAGACCCACCCCGACTCTCACGCTGGCTTAAACAGAGGCATTCCTACAGGTGTCAACCGCAGCGATCACAGCTAGGCTCCCAATCATAGTAATAGCATTGGATTGATTTCCCCGTGCGGATGTCGACAAACTTTGTACTTGCGTGCACGGGTTGAGTCATACCACGCCTTTAGTTATTACTGCACTCTGATTCCCTATCATCCCTGCTCATCCCCAAATTCTTGAAAATCATCTTCAATTAAACTACCATAACTCTTCAGTCGTCCTCTCGGTACACGAAGCACCGTCAACCCAAGTGAAATAGCAGTAGGAAATCTCATGCTAGACTAGCATGAGATTTCCTACCATAAAATCACTGAGAGGATAACGTCATCAGTTGTCCAATCATGATCTCTTGAATGTCGGAATGGTATGTTGAACCACCGTTGTCATTGAATGTTGAATCTCTTCAATGTCATGATCTCTCTAAAATCCTTCAGGCTAGTTGTCCGACTAGCCTAAGATAAATCACTGAAGGATTCGAGATAGCAAAAGTATGACTTTACTTATGATTTTCACATCAATACAACCTACCCAGAAATCCCCATTATCACCCATACCACTCTTCCTTATAATACAATAGTTGATACAGAGTGGGCATCCGGATAACGTGTCAGAACCACACCACTGTCGAGGTAGGGCAACAGCTCAATGCCAATCGATTAGGAAATGATGATGATAATAATAATAGCTCCAAATCTACCTCGGGGTCGCAGTCGACGCGGGGAGATTAGCTGCAGTGGATACTCGAGTCAATTAGATTAGCACGTGACTAGTCATCCCTAGCCATATCTTGGTTCTTCGTCAAGCTGCTGATACATCACTGCCTGTACCACCACACGGTGCCGGTCTATCACTCTTAATGGAACCAGGCAACAACAACAACGAGGATATAATAGTATAAAAAAATACACAAATTGTAATCTGTTATGGAGGTACAGTGGAGTTTTACCAACCTAGTGATGTGAAAAACACTAGTGAAATCATATTTCACGACTACTGCATATCACCGCGAATATCGCCACTTCACTAATAACGGGTTGTGAAACTCCATTATATTGTATTATCATATTACTATTAATATCTAGTATAGGGTATAACTATATATATGTATATCGTTATTAAATATTGTACAACAGCATCGCTCGACCAATAATACAACTGCTGGCCAAGCCGTGAGTCGCGCCACACCCACTGTTTGCTTTCCTTAGCCAACTTCACTAACTATATAAGTTTACATGCAAATTCCGGGTAGAAGTGTACAGAAACCAATGAGAATTTCTCACAATTTCTTCAGAATTTTCATATTGTCACCAACACATGCAGTTGAGCACAAAGTGCATACTTTCCCTCCACACTTGGCACCATCCGGACGAATCTCCGCCGCCTAGTGGACAAGACGGTCAGCAGCAGCAAAAAGATGCTGTTTGCCCTCAGCAATGACCACTCAGTGTTGGGATATATATGTTTGCTTTCCTCAGCTGATATGAGGACTAAGTCAAGGCTTATTATAGGCGTTTGAATACGAATTAGAGTAGAAGTGTACAGAAACCGATGAAAATTTCCCCCATTTTCCCAATAATTTCATATCGTCGGCCACACATGTAGTTGACCATGTGCATATTGTCCCACACTGCTCTCACTGCTATGAGTCATGAAATTTGACTAGCCCGAAATGCAGACACATCGAGGGCGATCAAGATGAGCTGTTCGAATTCGACAAGGTCGATTCGAGTCGCGATGTATTCTATCACGCCTTTCATTAAGGAGGAACTGAAAGGTATCTTGAGGTCCACTGGGGAAGATGCAAAATAGGTACGGTTGAGGACCCTCCTGTGCTTCCATGAGTTCTCGAGTTCACTACCTCGAATACAGAGTGGATATTTCAGTATAAATTCCGCCTAGGTCGGAACCTACTGTTGAAAGGGTTGGTCACTAAACAGTTAACGTCGTTATCAAGGTAGATAGAACATCTCCTTAGAATGTACTTGATGGAAACAAGCTCAACACAAGATCGAGTTCTCCAACTACTCTGAGTATTATACTTATTTTTGTGGCGCGTGACGGAGTCCTCAGGCGTAGATAGTCATAGTCGACTCTTGACCAGCACGATTGCTTGTAGGAACAGACCTGCCTCACAGCATGGTGGATAGAAATGTCCACTGGACGATGCGCGGCGAAATCGATCGCGTGATCGATATTACCCCAGCGTGCAGAGGGAAGTTCCGGATTTCCCACACTCGGCCATGCTGGCAGGTGTTGGTGAGTGAGGAGTTGATTATGGTAGGTTACTACGTATGGTCATAAGCCAGTGTATGCGTGCTAAGTGGCGTATCTTGAGGTTGACTTCTTCGGATACAGAATAGGTCCGCAGGTTGATTACCATCATAATCTCTGATAGTAGCCGTAGTTGTTTACAACCATGAAGTTCTCACCCGCGGTATCATCGTCCCGTCGTAAGAGTCGTAAGGCTCACTTCACTGCCCCTTCTGACCAGAGGAGGATCATCATGTCCGCGCCCCTCTCCAAAGAACTCAGGGCCAAGTACAACGTCAGGTAATTTCTATAATACCATCAACGATTCATTTATTCCTTATATTCCCGCAGGTCCGTTCCTATTCGCAAGGATGATGAGGTTATGGTTGTTCGTGGTCACTACAGCGACCGCGAGGGTAAGGTCACTGCCTGCTACCGTAAGAAGTTCGTTATTCACATCGAACGTCTCACTCGCGACAAGGTGAGTATTACTCCAGTAGTGAGCCTATGGTAAATGCATGTGTTTTCAGGTTAACGGCTCTCACGCCAATGTTGGTGTTCATCCTTCCAAGGTTGTCATCACTAAGCTGAAGATGGATAAGGACCGCAAGGCTCTCCTTGAGCGCAAGAACCGTTCTAAGGACTCTGGAAAGAAGAGATACACTGAGAAGGATGTCGCTATGGCTCAAGTAGATTAGAACTGCTACTACTAAGTGGTGTAAGCAACGGCTCGAAGACTGCGGTGGTCATCGTTTAAGGGCTTGAGTTAATCGAGTGGCGGCGGGTGGTGGGGTTGGGGCCTCTGAAAATATCATAGGCGAATCCCTGGGTGTAAGTTAAAACAATTGATTCGCGACATGCCGCTTGGGATAAGACTGTGATGAACGAGAATGTACTGACATTCTTACTGAACTGGGGAATGAACTCGGGGTTGATCGTGTGGGAGGTGGCAGTCCTAACCAACTAGACTACTATAGTGATGATTTATAGTATATCATGACCGATACGTGTATGATACAGTGTGCCTAGCTGTAATGGTGCCACTTCCGTGGTTTAATAGAGATACCAAACCGGAGTTGCTCGAGATCTCGATTAATCTCACTCTCAATCTATAACTCCTCCTTCCAACTCGCCTATGTCGGGATTTGATGCTATTCTGCTCGGAAGACTGTTGGGGTCTGGGTTGTGGGGATGAGAAATTACCGACTATCCTCAATCAGGATCGGAAAGGAAATTCTGCCTTTTGGTGACGAGGCGGACCATCGGTCAGGTTTCGTGTGTTCCCTCATCAGACATTCTAATCAGCTGCTGCCAACCATGGTGACGTCACTCTGTTATCGTTAACACATCCATGGGAGTAGGCTATATAGAGTACGATGAAGCTGGCTGGTAAGCGTACGCGACTGATGGAGGATGAGTTGGCGAATTTCCGAACTCATTGGAAGTAGAAAATATGCCATTCAGTATGTATGTCATTCAAGTATGTCATTCAAGTGCTTCTCGTTGGTCTTAGTGGCGCATAGTATTCTCTCCATTGTTGTGTGTTGGGTTACGATAGTTATCGGGAGGGCATCTCATTTGATCAGAGATGTGAATCATGTAAAAGCCACTTGACACGAGTGATTGCACACAAAGGGGTATACCATAGGGAACACATTTTGAACCACTTTGCACGCGAGTAGGGTCTAGTGGTCACAATTACATGTCCTACGATTGCGTCGAAGGGAATCCCTTGAAAGCCCTGACAGTTGGATTTTGGCAGTTGTTTTCAGCAGACGTACCCGTGAATGGTTCCTCATCCACCTGTAGTTGTGGTTACGGGTGCCAACAAGGGCATTGGTTTCGAAGTGTGTAAGAAGCTCATAGGGAACGGTGCCAGGGTGATCATGTCCGCTAGGGACGAGAAGAGGCTCAGGGAAGCGGCAGGTACCATCAGACGATATTCTCTTTTTCCTGCGCAGTACACTATCGATGGATTGAACCCTGGGTCTCAGCTTTATCAGCGCGATCTGTTACTCTGTGGGCTGACTGTACTAGTAAGATCATTCGTTCGTATCGTTGGGAATCTCACCTCGAGTTTGTGTTCAACCACGTGATGCCTCAACCAAACTTTCTCAGATACTCTTAAGCCCTATGGTGCTGTTCAGTTGGATGTCTCTGATGCTGCATCCATCGAGGGCGCAAAGGCACAAGTGAAACTGTATCGGCCTCCCCTGATGACAGGAGACGTGCCCTCGTAGATATCTAAACTAACACCATCAATTGATGCACTTGTCAACAACGCTGCCGTGCTATTGGACGAGGACGATTCGGAAGCCTCCTATGAGCAGGTACACCTTGGCAGTTTCAACTCTACTGTCTTTCTCCTAGTCGCGTCGAACGATCGAGGTTAATCTCTACGGTTGTGTAAAAGTCACTGAAGCTTTTTGGCCAATGATGGCCGACAAAGGAAGAGTGGTGAACGTCAGTAGTGCACTCGGTAACCTGTCGCAGGTGAGGTTTCAGCCAACACAGTGATGCATTTGGATTTTGTTTAGGTTTCCGAGCCCTTGCAGAAACGCTTAGCTTCTCCTGAAAGTACTGTTGAAGATATTTTTCGTATTGCTGACGATTATCTCGAGGCCGCGAAAACAGGGCATGTTGTGAAGGCAGGATTTGCCAAGAACATGTATGGGACTTCTAAGCTCCTACTTATCGCTTGGACTAAAGCTCTGGCTCGGGAGGCGTTAATGGACCCGAGAAGAATAGTCGTAACGACTTGCACGCCCGGTTACTGTGCTACCGACATGACCAAGTGATGCTCATCTCTTTCGATATTACTATGCACGGGCCGCTAATATCAGGTATAAGGGAGTTCTGTCAGCGGCGGAAGGCGCCGAGGTTATCAGTTGGTTAGGGGCTGAATGCGAATACGATGCTAGTATGAGTGGCAAGATGTACAGAGGCAAGCAGGAAGAAGAGTGGTAAACTTTTTGCAAGGAAAAATTTTTCACACACATTCCTTGTCGAGTTAGAAATAACAAGTTCGTGTTCAAAGTCGAAAGCCGATAATATAGCGAGTATTCATTTGATCCATCTCTCGTTTTTTCCACACAGTGACTATCATAATTGTCAAACACAACATAACAGTATTCATTCATAGGTCTCTTTGGGACTAGTGAGTTTGAATGAAGCCCATTAACACAGTCTGTTAAGTCTTGATAAACTGATTAATCTAATCTCCGCGTTGCTCAATTGCAGAGATCTTATCGAGGCGCCTCTGATGACGACCACCACAGAAGTTGGTGTTGATGAATGTGGCAACGATCTCTTTGGCGATCTCAATACCGGTCGTACGGCCGCCCATCGCGAGGACCTATGAAAAGAATCGTGGAAACTTCTCCGCACGCATGGACTTACGTTTCCGTTGTTGTGCATACGCAAATAGCGAGCATCGTAGTTGCCATGACAAAGGCCACATCGAATACCCTTCACCTTGTTGACTGATATCGACATACCCAAACCGCTGCCGCAGATGGCAATACCGAGGAGCTCTGGAGAGGACGACGGCAAATGAATAATTCACGCGAAGTCGAACTGCTTACTTGTCGTATCATCAACAGCCACAACCTTACGGCCGAGCTTCTCAGCGAAGTCAGGATAGTCAACCTGAAACGTGATACAATCACTACTCGAGTCAACACGAGATCACTTACAGAGTCGTGCGTGAAACACCCGACATCTTCGATGCAACCCTCAGGGGCCTTAAGGTCGTTCTTGATGAACTGAAAAAGCACGAGATTTGCATCATCAAGGAGATGACGAGCAACTCACATCAATAACCTGATTCTTCAGATCGATACCGGCGTGGTCCGAGCAGAAGACGAGTTTTAAACCCTTCTGCAGACGCTCGGCGGCGGGCGCGAAAAGAAGCTTTTCAGTTTGCGGATACTCCATGATTGATGAAAGTGATGATATTAATAATAACTGAAACCATGTGGAGTGTATGAGAAACGACACCAATTCTATGTCCAAGGCCTAACTACAATACTACGTGATTCCTCACACTATTAGTACACCAAGACACATAGACATACCCTATCACGACAGCGCGCGATATCACAGCTAAAAAGCGCTAAAGAGCAGCACATTCCGACTAAGGGGACATCAGAATTTCATTGTGTTGGTCATGAATCACGACTCGTAGTGACATCCTGTTTCATCAACGACCTCTATGGGTGTACAACGTCCGTGATAATTTCTTATATGAAGAAGTTGAATTGTTGTTGTCTCACTTTGGCCTTTCATACACAGTTTATGGTGTCAGTTTTACATAAGGCTTTGTGAGAATGGTCACTGCCAAGTATTGATTGGTATCAGTGTTTGGTGAAACAGTGTGCGATACAACTTGCAGCAGATCCATTCATAGTAGCAGACTCCTACTATGAATCTATTCTAGAATCTTGAACTCAAGACTGACGCTGCTACTAGCAGTGTCAATACAAACACAAGCGGACTTGTCGAAGTTGTCTATTGGAACATCCTCGAGTTCAACGTCATAGATTTGTTTACACGGTGAGCTCTGGTCAATCTTGTTTCGCCACTAACTAACACGACAATAACTTTTTGGGAGACTTTATGTGAACATTTGGAGGAAACTTATCAACATTTCGCAATAAAGAAATTCAACAGAAAGTTAGTTCTTGTTCTCAAGGGCCATCATCTTGTCAATCCTTTTCTGATGGCGTCCTCCCTCGAAGTCGGTGTTGATGTAACTGATACCCATTAGTAAACAATAAGGAAATGTAATTTCTTACGTAGCAAGAATCTCTCGCGCAACCTCGACACCCGTGGTACGGCCGCCCATAGCAAGAACCTGAGAATGACCATGCATACCGATGCAATAGACAGATGAGAATAGTCTTACGTTAGCGTTGTTGTGGAGACGACTATATCGAGCATCGTAGTTGCTGGAGCACAAAGCACACCTGGAATAGCAACAATACGATTGAGTATGTCAATGGTGGCTACAGTGCAATAAGATGAGTACCATGAGCTGTTCAGTCCATGATCGTTTACCTGATTCCTTTGCACTTGTTAGCGGACATCGAGATTCCTAGACCAGATCCGCAAATGACAACACCCAACGCCTCTGAAATGACAGTAAATGATTCCATGCTGGCCTATTCTGAATTTTGCAGGATCAACCACAAGATACTCGACTCCATACAAGACTAATACCCGCTTACTGGTAGTATCATTGGAAATGCTCAGAAGAGTCTTGCAAGCTTTCTCAGCGAAATCAGGGTAGTCGATCTAAAAGAACTTTCATGAACGCCTTGAACTATTCCCACGACTCTACCGATTCATGCGTGTAAGTGCCGACATCCGTGATGCACCCCTCTGGGGCCTTCAAGACGTTCTTGACGAACTGAAATGGAATGAAGTAAAAGTCTATAGAGGTGCAGAAGGTCTACATCGATCATCTCATTTTTCAAATCGATGCCGGCGTGGTCAGAACCGAAGACCAACTTCAAACCGTTCTGCAAACGGGCGGTGGCGGGCTCGAAAAGTAGCTTCTGGGGAGTCGACATGAGGAGGCACTATAAACTGGGCAATATCAGATTCATACGTATTGGTGTACTTGTGGTGGCCAGCGAGCTATGTGATCTCGTCAGCGCAGAAAAGCGCGCGCCCAAAAACTCGAAGGAGTATGTAATTGTGACAGCCAAAGCCTTTCAACACCAATATGTTTAACGGATAGTTCTCATGGATTGACTGAAGCTACTTTACGAGGAAACTTCCCCTCGTGTCTTCTTAAGTTCTCCTGAGGAAACTTTCCTCATGAGTAATTTCACCTCGGCCTACGGCAGTGGACTTCAGCCCACCCTCCCACACCACGATGGAGATGATATGCGAGTCAGCTTTAAGCTCCAAGACTCGCGATCATCTCGCAGTACACGCTTATCAACCTCATCACAGATCGCGACCTTGACTGGACGTCGATGTACGACCCCCGTCGAGATCATCTCCTGTTCCCAGGCTACAGGCCGCGGGTCACAGTTTGATCATCAAACTTTGATGGTTCGATCTAGTATTCTTCTGCTGAGTTTGCCCGAACTCCGTGGTTGTAGAAAAATGCGGCACCTTCGACTATCTTGTGATATTTCCAAATGGTGAGGAGTATCATTCAGGTACGGAGGGTGAAATAGCCACGCATAGGAGATGATATTCGCGTTCCTAGCGTCGCTAGACTAGCGAGCGCAACTTGGTTTTGTGTTATGGGTTCACGGATCCGAGTGATTCATCAGGATGGGGACTAAGATGAGTTATGAGTTCAAAGCTCAAATCTTCGGATAGTTCAGAGTAACGTCCTCCCAATTTTCGTCCCAAACCGCCCGTACAGGAGAGGCCCAGCTACAGGCTGGATGCTTTGGATGCTGCATCCGATTATGTTGCGCTGGGAATCATCACACCATTTTCGATTATGCGGGCCTGGGCCATCAGGATATCCATTATTAGAAGCACGATCTGGTGTGTTAGGAGTGCGCTTTGCATCTATCCCGAACACCCAGGTTCGATACGAGCTTTCGTTTTGCCGGCAATTGAATTCGAATGGTGGGTAATTCAATTGCCTCTCTCCCAGTCTCCTTTGTGCAGGCGATTTGACTGCTGCGAAAAATCAGGGAATATACCGAGAATTCGTATATGTATGCGATAGCTGACGTGCTCGGATTAGTGCAGTGGCTGCAGTAATTCAAGCACATCACTCACAGTTTGGTGATGAAGAGTCTCTTCATTCTATTCTCGGAATGGCTGAATGAATCGTTCAACGCTACCAGCCAAGAATCGAGCGCTGAACTAAAATGATATAGTGTGATTATCACAGCAGCTTCAAGCCGCTGTGATAATCACAGTGACAAGTTGTCACTGACAACACCTGTTAACCATCAGCTGCTGCCTCTTGTGACACTGTACGAACTAGCACACGAGTTGGCGGTTACGGTTGACGGTCGCACATCGCTGATGTTATATTTCTATTCCACTACTAAAAGAACAACATTTATATCCTTTTGAACAGTGAAGATCACTGCAACAGCGATCGTGATTCTGGACTATGGTTGTCCTAGGTTTCAAAACCCTATCTGAATTGTGTTCATAAGCAAGGATAGAGAGCACCATTCAGAGGCTCTCGATGAGTTCCGAGATGTATGGATGATCGTGATATTCGAATTGAGTTAAGACGCTGTGTAGAGAAACCCGTCAGAGCCGGCTTTATTTGGTGCAAGTGAGATTGCCGAGCAACGATCCCTTCGGAAGCCACACAGTATATGACCAGAAATACGATTTTGAGCAAGTCATTGGGGTGATCAATTGAGTCCATCATGTTGCCCATTGTTGGTGAGTACTTAGATAATCGATGGCACGAAGTAATCCGCCAAATTAAACTTTCGATGTAGTCTAGCTGGTTAGGATTCGTGGCTCTCACCCACGCGACCGGGGTTCGAGTCCCCGCATCGGAACTTTTCGCACAGAACTCGCCAAAAACCCCATCTAACGACGATAAACCTGCTACACCCGCCAGGACCCAAGCAAATCGTTCAGCAATCTCTTCACTACCAAGCTGTGAGGGACCGAATGACTGCAGTAATTCAAGGACATCAGCTGTCGCTTGCGTATACCAATTCTTGGTGTATTCCCCAAGTTTCCGCGGCAGCAATTTGTATCGCGGATCCCTGATGATGCCACTGACGATCATTGAGATAATTGACGTGCCCGTGTTCCAATATGGATTGATGCTAAAGTTCTGCAAATGCGATGGTACAATGAATTTAAGTTATTTAATTACTACACGACACTCATGGAGTAAATAAACCCAACAATTCGTGTGTTACCTTTGATATGCGCACTTAAACACGACACTATCCCCAAACCAAGTGGAGTACGCAGATCGGAAAACGCTATGGAAAGCCAACACTCAGCCTTCCCGCGTCCCGATCTTTCACGAGTCCCAATGAGATGAGGTGTTCCAGTGCTTTCCTCTATGAGCAATTTACGGTGCAGAAAAAATATACACGTAGTCAATTGTATAAACTGGTGATGATAGGGGGAACTTCGGGAAAATCTTGTTGAGTTTTGCACACCTCTGCGCTCAGGAATTTGTAAATCATCATAATGTAGCTGTGGACACCCCTGAGCTCAGCAGAGGAAACCAAACACATATTCCACCACTGAAACCCTTCAAAACTACATCAACCAATACTAGAGCTAATCGTGGAGACGATACCGTTTCTCCGCCGTCAGAGCTCCTATAAGAACACCTCATCCGGATGCAGCGTATAGATATACTCGTAAATCAAGCCATTCCCTTCACCTTCTAATTACGCTGATCGAGGAGCAGCGGTACGATTGCTGTAATCCACTTACCCACATACTAATATTCGCTGTAAAAATGGGCTCGAATGATCAACCTCGCTATGTTAATAAAACTCCTCCGATCCTTCCTGAGGCTGCGTTATCAACTAACAGTTCTCTCCCACAGAATTCCAGATATACAATTTTCGACTGAGCTGAAGAGTCTCCTCACTAATCATGGACTGCACGAATTCCGGTAGAAGTGTACAAAAACAAAAGATAATTTCCTAAAATTTCCTCAGAATTTACATATTGTCACCAACACACGTAATTGGCCATGTGCGTACCATATATTCCCACACTGGAAGCCGCAGTCACAAATCGGAGAACCACAGCAACCAAAAGCGAATCGCGTCCTCATCCCATATGCTGGACCCAGTAATATCACCACCGAGCTTAGTGCAGTTCCATCATGTTGATTCTGTAGGCAAGCTCCGGGGACCCGGCATTCACAATGATTATCAGCATTACAAAGGGCTTTCTACAACGAACACTCTCGTTAATAACTAAATGAAAACTTCATGTACCGAGTTGATTCACTCACCCCTCTCCTAAGATTGTTATTCCCAATCTTTCGCAGGCTGCCGTTTAGATCAATGCACTTCACATACGAATTGAATAACACTACAATCTTCCTAAGACGTTGGTAAGGTGACCCAATAGCGCAGGAAAAAGGGACAATTACAGACAGTACGGTCACTATTAGAGTACCACTCCTCTACCATCTTCCCTTGCCCTTACCCTTCCCAAAATGACCCTTACCCTTACCTGAGTACAACAGCATCATGACATAGAATGTCTGAAATCTTACCCTTGCCCTTTCCAAAGCCCTTGCCCTTTCCTCCTTTACCTTTGCCACCTTTACCCTTACCCCCAGCGGCGTGCTCTGAAACAGACACAATTTCCCTTCCCTCCTACACTTGGATTACTCTTAGGGCCGATACTCTTCTTAACAGGAAGGAACCGCTCTAGAGGAAGAGTTTGGTTGCCATCAATGTAGACCTGTTAATGGTCAGAGATTCTGCACGCATGCGCAAAGCCAATGGCTCACCTTTTGGCCAGTCTTGAAGCTTTTAGCAACGACACCATCCTGCATCTTTACAGAGAAGTAGAACTCATTGATGGGTCCGAGAATCTCATCAACTTGCCCGATTTGACTCTTGTTCTCGAGGAACACACGTCCATTGAAGTAAGGCACTTTAGTGTGGGTACCTACATCGGGAAGTGAAGGAAGAGTGGTATGATAATTAATATATTACACTTGCAGATCATCTCATCTTCACAGACGTGGATCATCTCTCCGAGTTCTTCTACCCATTCAGGGGGCCCAAGAGGGGCGCGGTGACCCTTACCTAGCACCAACAACCGATGCAAATACAGCGTTGCACATCGCGACCCGATTGGAGTTTCACCTGTTTTACATTAAGTGGCGTAAAACTCGGTGAAAAACGCGAAGTTCACGGTATGCAGTAATTGTGAAATATGTTTTTCACTAGTGGTTTTCATATCAGTGATACTCCATTAAATTCCACAACGGCAACCTATGCGACGCTCAGATGATGACCGCCAATGTGGTGCACAACGACATACGAAATAGAGGGTCCGAAAAGTGATTATCTATACGTATATTTTCAATGCAGGTAGCAGCAGCTCCAGCAGAGCCACCACTGATGGCTCAGTTCATAATGTCCCCGAAATTAATCATGACATGAGTACCATCCTCATACCACACCTTCACCAAATCTCTTCCCCCAGACGCTTCTCGAGCATTAGAAGGTTTTGAACCACAACACGACGAGACTGTACTGGGCGCGTTTGTGACTACCTTTGCCTTTTCCACCTTTTCCTTTGCCGAATCCACCTTTCATTATGATGATCTATATCAATGACGATTACCGGGGACGCAAAGCAAGAATTGAGGAAATACAAGTAGTACTAAGTGCTCAAGATGCACTCTGAGTTATGAAAACCGATTCCTTACGTAAGGATAAGGGTTTCCCCATCTCATGTTAGCATCCTAAAGTGCGTCCTTATCGGTAAAGCTCCTCAGATAAGGTTTCCTATGAAATAGGCCCCAGGGATACACGAGTGTGACTGAGGAGGGCTTGACGGCATCTCATCCGATGCCCCTTCCTTCAACTACGGCTGTGCTCAATAGAGCCAATTTACTATTTTTAGCCGGGTGCATGGCATCTCATCCGATGCGGTACATGATACCATGAGACTCATCATATCTCCTTCGCGATTAATACGTCGAACTGTCCGATGAAGTATCCTTGCGAGTAAATCTCAGCATCACCCCAATGGTGACCTAAGGTTGCCAACTTCCTACCTCCAAGACTCTGTAGGATGCCTCTAGATTGTTTGTACCAATGCCTGAGATGCTGACTGTCACACGTTATGCAATCCACCTTCGTGACACTCGTTATCAGCAACGCTAGTATACAGCTTCTCCTCATTCATATACTTACTAAATGCATGAAGGGGCTCTGTAGGGGCTGCAAGCGCTACAGTAGAACTTGTCTCGCACTTATTGTACATTCTGAATGTAGTGTAGTTACTCCGCTCCCAATGAATATCAGCTAAATCAAATTGGTTAGGATCACATCTTCAAACGCGAGAATAAATGAGATATCTGAATCGAATATTTCGATATCTTCCTTATCCACCATCCTTCCTTATACCCTTATACCCATCTTCCTTATATCCTTATTGCCGCCGAGATAGCTCTGTTATCGAGGGATGTGACCACCATCCGGAATTCTCCGTCTCATTGCATCATACTCGACTCAACGACTGATGAAGCTGAATGGCTTAGTGATCCTGGCAAGATGTGTGCATGACGCGGGAATTGAAGTAGTCATGTGGGATCTGATCCATGTCTCGGATGGTACGGCAGAGTCCATATGCACAGTTTTATTGGGGTTATATGAAAGAGATGGGGTTCCCCTTGCAAGATGTTGCGGCTGGGCCAGTGATGGATGCAGACTGCATCATGCAGTGCCATGAAGAAGGCGGCTCGTTTGTTCTGTGAATCGTCACAATATCAGGTGATCTGCAGTTTTCTTGTTTTGCCAGCTGTCACTCTGATGGGTAATCTTCGTGCACTGCCTAGCACACAGACTGGATATGTGCCTGTCTAGTGACGTATGGTCGAAGTCTCCTCTCTGTCAAAGGGTTGAGAAAGCTTTGAGAGTTTGCTATCCTACCTTCAACAGATCAGCACGTAGAAGGCAGAGCCTACTAGGTCTCGTCAACGTGAGTGCTGTGTTCTCTCGTGCGCTCAGTAGACTGAAACCGATAGATCGAAAATGCATGCCGTAGCGTTCGGTGATCCGAGTGGGATCCTCCCACAATGAGTCCGCTAACTCGCCCAGCAAGACACAACGCTCCGTCGAAGCGTTCGCGGATTTCTCAGTCCAATTATTGCCTACCAATTCACGCGCTCAAATCTGGAAACAGAGTAGCCTCGAGGCTCATTTCCGCCAAGAAATTAAACATTTAATCGTCGTGAGGTGAAAAACTACACCTTTTCAATCTCAAATTCGGCAAATGAAAGAACAAATTAGAAAAATGAAATTTGATTTTAGTCGGATGAAAGGAGTTTTTCACCGAATGAAAGTTCAAATTCGAAATGAAAGTTCGATTTTCGTAGACCATTCAAAAATGAAAGTTCAAATTCGTAAATGAAAGCTATGAATTCGGAAACACAACTTGAAATTCGTCAAACACAAGACCAATTTCGACCAATGAAAGCTCGTTTTCATCACGTCTCGAAATGCACTATCCACACTACACGCACTTGCACCACATCTCGATATGCGCTATTCACACTCCACGAGTTGACAACTCGCACAATGTGCGAAGACTGCTCGAGGTACTTCTCAAATGTGAACAGTTATTGCACTGAGTGAGATTCACGAGTGGTTCTCCGGAACGTTGGGTCACATCGGTCCGTCGGACCGTGGGTCCGGGACCGATGCAACCCGTCGAAACCCGAACTTTTCGTAGAGGGTTGTTCCGGTTCGGTATTCGGTATTCGATCAAAGTTCGGTTCGGTGGTCAGGAAATCGCACCGAACATGTGCTGACCCCATCGTCCTTCCGATATCATCGGAAGGGTAATGGAGATTCTCCATGGGAGAATCAAACCCAAACAATCCCTCGGCTCGAATCTCTGAAAATCCTTCATTGCAAATTTGTGGATTGCGCTGTACTGTTGCGCATTACGGTGCAGCCCGTAGAGCACCATCAGCACGCGCAATTTGCGAGTCGCAAGTCGATCCGTGGCACGACGCTGACGAGAATTTCCTTCTATCGAATGAAAGTGAGCTTTCATTGGTCGAAATTGGTCTTGTGTTCGACGAATTTGAACTTGCGTTTCCGAATTCATAAATTTCATTTTACGAATTTGAACTTTCGTTTTCGACCGGTCAACGAAATTCTAACTTTCATTTCGAATTTGGACTTTCACTTCGTGAAAAACTCCTTTCACTCGTCGAAAATCAAATTTCATTCATCTAATTTGTTGTTTCAATTGTTGAATTTGAGATTGAAAAGGTGTAGTGCGAAGCAAACAGCGGGAATTTCAGGGGGTTGATGACTGCGCAACTTTTTTCGGAATCCGAATCTGGCTCTAGCGCCCTCAAGTGTTCAGCATAGTGCGCTTTTCCTTCCCCACACTGACTTGGTCAGTATCAGTTTGCTATTCATAGTTACTCGTGTCATCGTACCTACCATCGACTCCCTATGTAGTGCCTTACGTAATAGATAGCCCCACGGAGTCGATAGTACGATCCATAGTAGCAGCTCGCGTCGCTTCGCTCCAATTAGAGCGAAAAGAGACGTTTAGAATAAATAGGTAGGAAGTAACGTATAAGAGGGGCATATGCTGAAAACATGGGAGTATGTAATTAGGATTTGTGGAGGAAATTTGAAAATGTGAGATTTTTACGCACGATTATATTCACCTAGCTTAAAAGTATTGATAACAAGGACTGGCATCCACGATATGTTATCACACCTCACCATGTATTCTTGTATACAGTGTATCGAGTTCGCAAACGGTATTATACAGTATATTGGTATCGATTCTATGTTATTTCTATCGTATTTGGCATGGCACAACTTGTGGGAGAGGGCTGCTGAGCTTTCTCGCAATCGTAGGAGTTTGCTATTGCGTATTCAAGGACGATAGGCTACTAGGCCCGTAATTATGCTTCGCAATAGATACATACCAAAAAAAGGGCGATTTTGAGTAACAGGATTAGTTTATTGATTTAAGAAAATCGCATAGGCAATCTGAGATGGCATGAATCGAACTGGTCACTTGCTTAGCAATTATCATGGATTGGTCACAGTTGAGAACATACGTAAAAAGATGGGAGAATTTCAACCAAGACTCACGTGAAGGATAATATCATTCACTTCATGTATCCTTGTGCAGCTATTCGAAGCGAATTTAAGAATAATATCAACGAATCTTGCAAGCGCCAGAACTAACTCACGTAAAAGTGGGGAAAACGTTATGTCTTCGGCATCGTCATGCTTCCCCTCCGACAGTCGCTACCCGAGAATTCCTTTCCGCCAAATTTTCTCTTTAAAAAGCTTCCGATGACCTTCGACACCCCAGAAATCCAACGCGACGTGTGAAACTCCGAATCGGCTCCGAATTTTAGGCAGTCATCTCTGAGATTCGGAATAAGAAGATGTGTAAGAAAGTTTCGCGCGCCCCAAAATTGGCTTTGTGCTGCGCGTTGTCACTAGCATCTGTCCCCTACGAGTGTCATGCGCGGAATGTGAGTTGTGGAGCAAAAATCTTCCCGTTGCGGGATATCTTGCGGTTGAGGGTGCAAGATTCAAAGTAGGTCCGATAAGGGCTCAAGGTCCGTTGACTCCACATCCATTCTCAGCTTTTCCACTTGTCCCATCAAGGTTTCTCCATGACTTCTCCCATCGACTCCGTCATCATCGAGAAGCTCAATTCGCTCGATAGTGAGTACGCTGCTATTCGTCGTCAGCAGGAGATTGAGACTCGCGCTTTGGAGAAGACCTACGATGCCAAGTACCAGCCTCTCCTTTCTGAGAGGTCCAAGCTCGTTGCCGAGGGCGGCGTGCCTGAGTTTTGGCTCACTGTGTTGAGGAACACCGCCAATTTTGGTCCTGAAATCGAAGATCAAGATAAGGAGGCTCTGCAGTACTTGGTTGACATTCAGGCTGAGGAAATCCCCGGCGAAAAAGAGGAAGATTTGGTTGCTGGTTTGAAGATCACCTTCGTGTTCAACGAGAACCCTTTTTTCGAGAACAAGTCATTGACGAAGACCTACCACTTCAGCGAGGTTAATGATATGCTCCGTCATGAGATAACGTCTATTGACAGCGACACTGTGGCGTGGAAAGCTGGCAAGGTCCTCACGTTAAAGTCTGTGGTAAAGAAGAATAAGAAGACTGGCGCTACTAAGACTGTTCAGAAGGAGAGGGAGTCCTTCTTCAGATTTTTCACGTAAGTTTTGGAGTTTTAGTCAGTTGTAGTTTTCTGTAGGGTAGTTGTACGTAGACAGTTGAAATGGTGGATTTATCAGTTTTGTGGTCATTTCATTATCAGCAGCATGTAGACGGGAATTTTGGTCAAGTTGTTGTGATTGTGATTTTTTACGTTCGGGCGTTGATGAGATCTACGCAAATCACTGTTTTTCGTATGGTGTTTGATTTCGCTTCGTTACTTACATTCTATGGAGTTTCACTCACATCGTGAGGTTGGATGTATCTTCAACCTTGAGAATTTTCACTGCAGTAATGTGTCCTTTTTTTCAGTCCTCTCGGGCCTGATCATCCCATCCCTGAAATCTACTTGGATTTGGACTCTGATTCTGAGTCCGATGATGACGAGGCTGACAAGGAGCGTCTGCAGTTCTTCATGAGCGCCGATTTCGAGAAGGCTGATGACTTGAAGGAGAATATTGTTCCTCGTGCCTTCAAGTAAGACTGAATTGCAAATTTCATTTAGTGCAGTACGAGGTGTACTATAATGGTCGTTTGCGTATACAATGCGGTCTACTTTCAATTTTGGGTATTATTTTTTCATGTCAACGTGGCGGTGGCAAACCTATAAATATCAATAATACTATAATATCATAAGAATATAATTTGTAGTAAAATATAAAATCAGAATAATATTATAAACTCGTTAATATCGATAGTCACCAATTGTATATCGTCTATTCAAAATTATTGTATGATAATACTAGGTTTTATTATGTTTATCATATTATAATAAGCGTTATATAGTACTTTTATCATGTTATTCCTATATTTATCACTCTCAATGCTCCCATTATCGTTATATTAACTCGTTGCATATATGTATAGTTAACATGACGGTGAAATTCATGTGTGTTGTTGATTCCGTTTCATCTTCTGGTAAAAGTATATGAAAGTCAAGTTGGTCGTAAAATTTCTGTCGAGATGGTATTATGAGCAGATACTATACCGGCGAGGCTGCTGATTACGATTCCGATGAGGACGATTCGTCGTGTGAGGATGAGTGCGAGTCCGACGATGACTCTGAGCAGGCTGATGAGGGCGCCGTTCAGAAGCACGAGTAAATACACATTTGTATTACACGAAGGTTAGAAGTGGGCATTTAATGTCTCACTTATTATTCTACTGTTCTTCTTACTGTAATCGTTGCATCGTCCGTCACTGAATTATCGCAAGCTCCAGAGCAGCTACAGCACTGTATTGATCGATCGTAGGGTGTAGGGTAATCTGTCGGAAACACTGCCAAATCTGTTTCTGGTTACGTTGGTAGTCGAGGAGCTGTTGAGTTATGCGGGTCAGTGGGGTGATTGCTTTAGATTCGGGTTGGTTTTTTTGTAGGGAGTCGGATATTTTGAGAAGTGGGGCGATGTAGTGTTCCCATGGTAGTAGTCATAGCTTGGTACAATTCGAGAGGGTTGGAGTTTGCTTATGCGTCTGTTTTTATGCTGAGTGCATTGCAGTTTCACACGTGATATGAAAACATTAGTGGAGAATATATTTCACGACTACTGCATACCGCGAATATCGGGTTTTTAACGAGTATTTCACGAAAACGGAAGAAACTCCACTGTTTTCGAAAACGTTAGCGTTGGTTGTAACTCTTGCTGGTGGTATTACCGTGGAAATAAGTCATCTGCGTTTTATATATCTTGGCATGTTATAGATGGATGAATTTTGGAAAAAATTAGCGGGAACTATTTTTGAACAGCTTTGTTATTCATATCGATGCCACCACAAACGTCATCGGTCGCCCAATGCCCATCACCCAAGAGAGCTCGGAAGCAGTCAGCTTCTACCACGTCAGGCCATCCTCTCGGTGTGCGGCCTTTGGGAAACCTCTATCTGGTTAGTGACGCGCACAGAGCAGAAATTACGGGCGATTTGAAAATGGTGGGGGAAGAAATTCTCGTTGGGACGATACTACGGTATTTAGATGGAAAATCATTGGCGGTTTTGGGGATGACTTCGAGAGCGATGTTGGCGTATACGGGGCTTGATGAGCTGTGGAAAGAGCTCGTGTGCGGAAATGAAAATTATCGCGGAAAAATTGAGCCGGCGGAAAATGGAGCATATTGGAGGGACACGTATTATCGTATGCGAGGAGGAAAAATGGCGCCGAGATTCGACTGTAGAGTTTTCAGCGATTTGCTTTACCAACCGTTTTTGCTGCGGAATTTACCGATGCCAGCTGAAGTGAGCAGTGAGAAATGCAACATAACGCGAGTTGATGTCTCGGAACTTTCGGTTGAGGATTTCGTGGCGAAATTCGAAAGGCCGGGAAAACCTGTTATATTAACGGGTGGAATGAAAAACTGGGCGGGTATGGAAAAATGGCACTCTGATGAGTATTTGATGCAAGCGTGTGGTGACACGGTGTTACTGTGCGGAAGTGGAGATTTGACTATACGGCAGTGGTTGCAGTATTGGAAAAATGGAGGGTGTCGAGAGGATGGACAGCTGTTTGTTTTCGATGGAGAATTCCGAGAGACCTGCCCGAAGTTGACTGAAGATTATGAAGTGT